GACTGGCAGAATCAAGCCCTGAATGAAGTCCAAATGTCATTAAAAAAAACACCTCTCGCTTCTGTGGTTGTTGTCAGCTTGATACGTATGTGCACAGCTGTGTCCTTTCATTCCTTCTCACAGGTAGAGATTGGGGGATATCAGTTCCGGAAGGACAGATAGTTCTAAGAATACACCTCATGGGCATAAAGAGGCCGGCAAACCCTTCTTGCTCAATTCAGCCTGCTCCAGAGGACTAGCACAAGAGCTATGCACTTCTTGAGCCCACTTCAGCCCCTTCTATTATAACCCAGAGAGCTAGCTTAACGATATTTTATTTATCAGGAATGCAAGTAGGGTGACCAGACAGCAAATGTGAAAAATCGGGACAGGGGGTGGGGGGTAATAGGAGCCTATATAAGAAAAAGACCCAAAAATCGGGACTGTCCCTATAAAATCGGGACATCTGGTCACCCTAAATGCAAGAAACCTGCTGGCCTACACCCTGTAAGACATTAGCTTATGTAATTAGCATGAGACTGTGGGGGTCTCTGATCCTTAGCATGCCCAGCTATCTCAGTCAGTAGTGCATGGAGTGTGAGTATTGTGGATCAGGATTCCCAACCAGACATTGAACTTAATGACCAGAAATGATAACAGGTAACCGCAGGCAGTCAAACTGCTACCAGCCTAGGATATTTAAAGATAGGAACATCTGAGCAATACTATAGGATGTGAGTGAGACTCAGGTGGTGCAGAAGCCTGGTGCTGGGCCTTTGCACAAGTGTGAATGTCACTTCCTGAAACTTATGTCCTTTACAGACAGAACTATAGAATTCCGCAGCAATGATACAAACCCCTCCAGATTGCAACAGCCACAAGGCAATGCGAGGGGAGGGGGTTATTTTTAATAACAATGACAGCAAAATGTACAGTTAAATGTGTGATGTGCTATTTATCAATGCTATATACCAACCTAACGGAGCAGAGTATTATTTGCAACAAATGATTTAACCAGAGCTAAATCTCAATTCTGGTGTATGCAACCAGAGCACTAGAGATGAGCAAGCAAAGACAGATGGAGTTAAAGTTTTAATTTACATTCAAGAATGAAGCAGGCATAGGCTTATGTGGTATTATTATTAATATTATTACCATAACGCTGCTAGTATGTAAAATACCAGCATTCTAAGGGCATATCTACACTAGAACGTTTGGCAAACAGAACTTTTTTCAGTTTACAGTTCCTGCACACCATCCGGTGCTCAGTGCCTTGTGGATCTTTTCCCCATTGCATTGTAGGATGCCAGGAATGAGCTTGGGGTCATATTCCCACAATTTCCTTTCCAATATCCCGTATGTTTTTGCCATCCCATAAATTTTGTGACATTTTTTAAAATTCACAGGTTCCTCACAACACTTTTTCTCTCTACCACCTCACTGTCAGAAACATGGATCCTGCACAGATCAGAGTCCTCGTGTCTGTTTTAGAGACAGGTCACACAATTCTTCTGTATTTCCATAACTTCAATGACTACTTCTACAGCAGCAGCTGGAGGTGCGATAAGGGTGAGATGGGAAATGTTGAGGTGGGTGAATGGGTGACGCAGACATTGTCTAAAAACCTCAGGGTGTTACAGCATTCATTGACCAGGTGCGTAAGTTTTCTCCATTAATGAACCAAATCACATTATAGGCCTGATCTGGTAATCCATTC